AAATCGCCCGAGAGCGTGTCAACATGGCGGTGCGATTAGCGCCTCCAAAGTCTCAGTACTGAGCGCTTTGCTGACACGGTTCAAAAGTGTCTTGATTAACGGAGCCAATCGATCATAAGCCCGTGGATGTAGTTCTATACAGTGGCGTAGCCAGAAATATTTTTTGCCCTGGGCAAAAAATAAAGGTGGTCGGCGGTGAGAGACTTGAAGCGACGGAGGAGGGAGAGGAGCTCGGTGAGGGAGAGGAGGGAGGCGCGGGAGAGGGAGGAGGGTTGGGAATTGTTGAGATGGAGGTCCTGGAAGAGGAGGGAGAGGAGGTTGGATCTGCGGGAGAGGGAGGTGAAGTGGCCGGAGAAGAAGGGAAGCGAGGGGAGGCGGGAGGGGGAGGTGAAGTGGGGCAGTTTCTTGCCCTGGGCAGCTGCCCAGGGCAAGACTGCCCTGGCTACGCCCCTGGTTCTATAGTTGACCTTGTAACATCAATCAGCGAAAATCACAACTTTTTCACATCACCATCCAAGTATTTTGATTAGTATTTTTAGTATCTGCAACTCGCTGACTTCCCAATGAAGCATCTTGCTCCCAATTACATCATTATTCTGATAAAAGATTTGTTAGAGCTTAGGATATGACCTAATTTGGTCTAAGACGTGAAATTTTTATGGCCTTAGATTTCAATTCACAATTGTTTTAGCTAAATTACCAGATTGATATCTTTTTTTACGACACGCTTTACCACTTTGGTATGCTTTTGTTACTCTAGACTCATTTTTTTTCTTGGCGCAATGGTTAAATAGCCCAAAAGTTGGTCGCCAAAAAAAGAAAAAGAAAAACCAAATTAGTCCCTCAAATCTTCACTAGTTTAAATATTAGATCCTCAAATCATTAAACCCCCCCCCCCCCCCCCACACACACACACACACCGACCAGCCTCCGCCTCTTCCGCTCTCCCCCTTGCACTCGTGGCTTCCTCTCTTATTTCTTATTCTCTGATTCCCTCCCATGATGTCTCTTTCTCATAACCTCGCCACCATAGATCAATCGTGTCCATTGTCCTAAGGTATATATAACCATCAACTCTCAAATCTAAGGTGGTGGATCGTAGGGGTGGCGATGGGCATGGCGGATTTGCGGGGTGGTCATTATTTTGGGCAAATTGGTCGATAACGGGATAGGGGTGGAAAGCGGCGAGGATGTCTCACGGTAGAGGGAGGGGGCATGAGCGAGGCAGTTCATGAGCATAGGGATGCCAATGAAGGGGCAGGGTGGGAATTATTGGCTCGAGATCCTCAATGTGATGCAATGGGTGTCACGGTTAGAGAGCTTGGAGAAGGAGGTGAGGATGTACGATTTGAGCTCCACCATGTCGAGATGAGAGGAGAGGGAGGGGTGTGGTGGGTGGGGGGGGGAGGGGAGGGTTGTTGTTAGGGTCGGGGATTTTGAGGGTCTTTAGGGGGGGGGGGGGTGGAGAATGGGAAAAGGAAGGGGAAGACGGTGGAGTGCAAGGGGAGAGGCGGACACTAGTAATTGTTTTTTTTTTTTGGTGGGGTGGTGGTGATATAGTAATATCAAAAAAAATTGGGGGTATATATATATATATATATATATATATATATATATATATATATATATATATATATATATATATATATATATATATATATATATATATATATATATATATATATATATATATATATATATCTTGGGGCCGTCAGTTATAAACTCAAATAAGATTTTCTTGCCATTATAACTAGCTTGGATTCCTTGTGAATCAATTTTCTGCATATGCATTATATTGTGCAGAAATGGTGTTCCCAATATGATGTGTTGTGATAGGTTTTTCATAAGTACGCAAGGGATTGAGATACATGCGTCTTGTACACAAATATGTGCAGAAAGTAATTTAAAATTAACTTCAAGTTTATCACCATTTGTGCTCCTTAGGGTTTGTGTAGTGGTTTCAAAGAATTTTGAAGGTACAATGCCTTCACGAATGCAGTTTAAGGCCTGCACCGCTATCAACCAAAGCTATAAGGTCTGGTATAAATACTTGTTTTGCTATGACCAAAGTTACATTTATGTACCATTTCTGAGATGTTATTTATTGTAATATATACATAAATTCATCTTTTTGAGATAATTCTGGAACATCCTGATCTCTATTAGAGATTCTTGGTGAATTTTGTTGCGAAGAGACTATTGATGACTGTTTTTCTCTAAGGTCATTATCTTCACTAAGGGGCTGTTTGGCACACTTTTTGAGAAAACTTTTCTCAAAACATCTGACAATGTCAAATTTGTAATTAAAAGTTTTCCAGAGATTTCTGTAAATTGTGTTTGGTTCAACAAAAAATTTACAGAAATATTTTCAAATTTTACAAAAAGCAATTTCCTCTCAAAATGAGAGGAAATCACCAGAAATCTGACACATACCATATTTAATTAAAAACCTACCAAATCTTGTTATTTTCTATAAAGTTATGAGCTATTTTCTTGTTTTGAACCAAACAAGCAAAGTACAAAAAACAAGAAAATTGGTACTTTTTGATTTCTCAAAACTTTTCCTATAATTTTTTTAAGAAATACAAGGAAATCATATTTTAGGTGGAAAACATTTCCTATAATTTCTAGAAATTGAACCAAACACCCCCTAAGTTTTGAGAGAATATATTGATTCTCTTGTTTTAGAAGTTTTACTTTTTTGCTTTAACATTTGAATCTCTTTGTTGAGATCAGAAAGGGATAACACTTTAGAAGTATTGTCTTGTCTTCTTTTTATGACTTCTGACATTCGATAGACATTGTCAATATTAGGTTTTCCTTTCTCTTTATAGATCGAATGAGGTATATTGGTGTGTGTGTGTGTACACACACACACACACAATATTAGGTTTTTCTTTCTCTTTATAAATAAAATCTTTCAAGTTTATTTGTCAAAACCGATCTGGTTTCAGCCCCAGGGCTGAAACCAGGTCAGTTTTGACAAAAAAAGTTTTCAAACTTCACGGGACTTCAAGTGGCGTGAAGTTTAGCAGCTATTTTGTTAAGCTGCTAAACTTCACAGGACTTGAAGTCCCATGAAGTTTCAAAGTTCAAAAAACATCACAGGCCTTCAAGTCCCATGAAGTTTTGTTTTAGTGCTGAAACTTCACGGGACTTGAAGTCCCGCGAAGTTTTTCGGTCTCATTTTTCAGAGAATCACAGCTCTAAAAAATGAGAACTGCAACTTCACGGGAGATGAAGTCCCTTGGAGTTTTCGCTTTGCCTATATAAGGCAGAAGCGATGTCGATCCATAACCTTAGCCCCTCTTCTCCTCTTGAACCCAACCCCCTCACCCCTCCCTCACCGCGCCGCCGCCCATCGACCCATCGTGCCCTTCCCACGGCCCCACCGCGCTCATCGTCGAAGTTCATCGGAATTAGGGCATCGTCAATATTAAGGTAAAAATCTTAAAAAAATTTAATTTAAATTTTTTGTATATTCTCACAATTTCTTAGTGATTACATGTAAAAAATTAGATTTTTAAATAAATTTGTATTTATTTATGAAATTTGTGAAGATAAATTAAATAATATTGTGTATGAAGTTAGAGGGAAAATTATCGAAATTTGTAACCGTGAAGTTAACAAGATGTCAAGTTTATGGGTTTCTAATATCGATCTAAGAGATTTAATGGTTAAAATTATGGCGGAGAATGACAGTGTATTTTGAGCATTTGGCCCTTGTATTGAGGGTTTCAGATATTGTCATCCTCTTCTTAGCATTGATGGCACCCACTTGTACGGTAAGTACAAAGACGTTTTGCTTGTTGCAACCGGAGTTGACATATATGGCAGATTATTTCCTTTGGCGTTTGCAGTGGTTGATGTCACAGTTAAATCTCATTAAATCTCTTAGATCGATATTAGAAACCCATAAACTTGACATTTTGTTAACTTCACGGTTACAAATTTCGATAATTTCCTCTCTAACTTCATACACAATATTATTTAATTTTTCTTCACAAATTTCATAAATAATTACAAATTTATTTAAAAATCTAAATTTTTTACAAGTAATCACCAAGAAATTGTGAGAATATACAAAAAATTTGAATTAATTTTTTTAAAGATTTTACCTTAATATTGACGATGCCCTAATTTCGGTGAACTCCGACGGTGACGACGATGGTGAGGGTCGGGCCGACGGGAGGGGAGGCGACGGGGGTCGGTGGCGGTGCCAGTGAGGGGAGGGTGAGGGAGGGGGGGTGAGGGGTCGGGTTCAAGAGGAGAAGATGGGCTTGGGTTATTGGTCGACATCGCTTCTGCCTTATATAGGCAGAGTGAAAACTCCACGGGACTTCAAGTCCCGTGGAGTTGCAGTTCTCATTTTCCAGAGCCGTGATTATCTAGAAAATGAGCCTGAAACTTCACAAGACTTCGAGTCCCGTGAAGTTTCAGCACTAAAACAAAACGTCACGGAACTTCAAGTCCCGTGAAGTTTTATAAACTTTGAAACTTCACAGGATTTCAAGTCTCTTAGCAGCTTAACAAAATGTCTGCTAAACATCACAGGACTTAAAGTCCCGTGAAGTTTGGGAACTTTTTTCGCCAAAACCGACCTGGGGTTGAACCAATGGCTGAAACCTGGTCGGTTTTGATAAATAAACTTGAAAGGAGTCGTTTTGAGGGAATAAGTTTGCAAATAGGGCTCTTTTGAAAATTTGTCGTAAGTTTCGAACGATGGGAACAATGGATTTTGATTAAAAAACAATTTTTTGATGACTGATCTCCAATACTCTGGTACGTGTACTCAGATTTGTTATTTGTCCGCACAAAATTTGATACCATGAACCTCCAAGAGCTCCCAAACATAAACTACTCACTAATTACCATTTTCGTACCTCTAGGATCAACGGTCATTATCCTTTTTAGTAAAGAATCAACGGTGGATATCGTTCTTCTGCTTTTAACTTGGGTCCCACAAGCGTTCATTTAGTTGTCCGGCGATCCTCGCAACGGTCATAATTGTTCAAATTTCAAAGGAGCCAAAACAAGAACAAAAGGGGAAAAAAAACTCTCTTTTTATTTTTCTGCATCTCCTACTCTTTGATTTCTCAAGCTTCAGATTTTGGATTAATCGAAGGAAACCCTAACCCTAGAGATGGCTGAATCTACTCAAGATTCGTTCGATTCGATGCTGTGGGTCTCTGATTCGAAGCTCGTTCAGGCTGGGCTCAAGGAGGAGGATTTCAAAGGTAGCTTCTTGGTTGCTTTGCTTCTAAATTTTCAGATTAAAATGAGTAAATTGTGTAGGTTTTTGATGTTCTTGAGTAATTTGGGCAATGTGTTTTTTCTTCTTGATCTGTGTTTATAACCCAAATGGATTCTCGGAGAAATTTGGGGTTTAGGGTTAATCTAGCTAAAATTAGGGTATTTTTTGTATTTATTAGTTTTGTGTTAGATATTAATGGGAATCTTTGACCAGGATTCAGGATCTCACTTGGTTTTTCCTTTGTGTCGTGTGAAGCTATTAGTAATTTTATTTATTGATTTTTTCAAGTAATTTTATTTATTGATTTTTTTTCAAGTAATTTTATTTATTGATTTTTTTTTCAAGTCGGCCTCTTCCGAATAAAATTGTTCCTTTATTCATAAGGTATCGAGATAAGCATGTATTTGTTTAAAAAAAGAAGTTGGGTTCTCTCAATTGTGAGAAATAAGAATTATTGGCTGGTTCTAGCTGAAATGATCATCAGTACTGAATCTCGATATTTTCTTTTTTGCTGCTCAATGGCATTTGAGTAAAATGTTCATTTTGTTTCTCTTCATGTGTATTGCTACACCATTTGTCATCAACTTCTGACTGTACTTTTTTCACTAAAAATCTTTAACTTTACATTGTATTAGATGACTTTGTAATGTTTATCAATGCTGGGGGCAAAGATATCCAATCTCGAGACTCCCGTTTAAATTTCAAGGGAGATTCTTTTTTCGATGGGGGATATGATATAGAAACAGATGAGACGATAATCGAAGGTGGTGACTTCTCCAGCCTGTATCAATCGGCTATCGGCTCGTTTTGGAAATTTTAGTTACAAGTTTTATGGTCTCTCTCCTGGAGACTACTATGTAGACTTACACTTTGCGGAGATTGTTAACACATCTGGGCCTAAAGGAATCAGGGTTTTTGATGTCTTTGTGCAAGAAGAGAAGGCAAGTTTAGGACTGTGTAATTGTGTTTATTTATCACATGACTGTATACTTTCCTTATTCTTTGAATGAGTTGCTGAAATGCATCTTCTATCTGAGAATTGCAGGTATTATCTGAATTCGATATATTTGCAATTGTTGGAGCTAATAAGCCCCTACAAGTAGTTGGTGTTAAAGTTTCTGTAGATGGAACTGATGCTCTAACTGTAAGGTTCGAGGGAAGAAGGGGTGGGGCAACAGTTTGCGGGATTTGCGTTAGGAGGGCCTCAGAGTTGACAGGTAAATATGGCACATGTAAGAGTTTTATTGCAAATTTAACTAGAAAATTTTGGCTCAAATATTACTTCATGGTGGTTAGATTTCAACAAAAAAAATTGAACATTCATTGAAGAGAACATCATAGAGATCATAAGAGGTAATTTTAGAATGTGTATAAATAGAAATCAAATGAGTTTTGTATTAACCATTGGACTTAAAGTCACAGTAAGTGGATTTTGACGCCTTGTATTGTCAATTGTGTACCCTTATGCTCCATCAAATACAAACTTTATCATTCCTCTTACACACTAATTTACATGTTAAGAATGTGATATACCACATTTTGGTTTTTTAATTTTTGCCAGCCTTCAAATTTTCCTTTGCAGAAAATAGATATTTAGATGGATACTGTATTGATTTGCATTGTTCTTTACAATGTAAAAGTTATTAATTTTAGGTTCATTTGTACTTGAATCAGTAACAAGGAAGAATTCGGAGTATACAATGTGTAGCAAATGTGCCACAGATATTGAAGCTTCTCCAAGCCAGGTCAAAATTCAAGTCAGATAATTAAAGCTTGCCATTAAGATCACACAAAGTTTTATTTTTCATATTGTTGTTCCTATTGCAGAATAGAAATCGGAATATGAAATTTATCGCCAAGTATGAGAAACAAATACAGGACCTGAACTATCAGTGCAAATTAAAATCCGATGAGTGTTATCAAGCTTGGGTTTCACTACATGCTGCAAATGATGAGCTAGAGAAGCTGAAGATGGACCATGACAATAAACTATTTCAAGCTGAAACTCTTGGTAAAAAACCTGAAATCAGGAACATTTCTTTTTCTTTAGTGAATTAAATCTTATTATTTCCTTTTAGAACAAATTATTGAACAACAAACGGAAAACTTAAGAGAGGTGTCAGAACATTATCAGCATGACAAGGAGCTGTGGGTTTCTGCTATAAGGGACTTAGAAGAGAAAATTAAGGTAAATATGAAATCAATTTATAGATATTTTACCTGAATAATGGCTTACTTGTTATTTATATGTATGTATATATTAAATCTTACCTTCAGGTATTGAAGCAAGAGCACCACCAGCTTTCTCAAAGAGCACATGAATGTGCTAGTTCTATTCCTAATATGAATATGATGGTTGATGGGGTTCAAGCCTTGGGTAAAATCAAATCCATTGCTCTTAAATATAATATTTAACATCCACTTTTTAATATCTTAACTTTTATAAATGTTCCAGTTGCACAGTGTGAAGATTTAAAGATGAAGTACAATGAAGAGCTAACAAAGAGGAAAAAACTATATAACCAAGTCCAAGAATCAAAAGGCATGTGCCATTAGGGTTTTCTTCTGGTTTTCATCTTTTTAACTGTTGATGAAGTTATTTAAACCCTATATATTCACCATTGCAGGAAATATTAGGGTATTTTGCAGGTGTCGTCCATTAAGCAAGGAAGAGGGTGCATTGGGTTATGCGACTGTTGTAGATTTTGATGCAGCTAAGGATGGTGATCTTGGAATAATATCTGGTGGATCCACAAAGAAAACATTCAAATTTGACCGAGTATTTACCCCAAAGGACAATCAAGGTAAGCATGTCTATATATGGCTATATCTACGTGCTTGTTATGTTTATCTCATTCTGGAAGGTTGCAATGTATTGGCTCATTAAATTTTCTCATCTATGGGAAAGTTGAAATTCACCTAGGAAGCGTTTCTATATATGGCTATAATTGTAGTGCATGTTATATTTCTATTCTTCAGAAATGAAACTGAACAGTATAACTAGATGATCGAGGTTGCAATATATCCATTCTTTGAATTCTCTTATCTATGGGAAAGTTGAAATTTACTTAGGAATGGCACACTAGTTGACGCAAGAAAGTTGGAGTGCATGCCAAGCGTATAACCTTCGTGATGGGCAATTTCTTGAAAAGACTTTGGGGGTTCATTTTTCACTAATTAATGACAATGATACTAAAGTAAAAATATCATTCCCACTGAACGTCAGCATTGTTGTGCTATAAAGCAAGTTTATGATAATTTAATGAACTGGAATCTTGTAAGTGCATTTAAGCCTCCTAAGTTTTCCATGTAGTTTCTTTATAATATAGCAACTTATAATTGTTCATATGTTTTGCTACCAAATCAACACAAACTATAAGTTGCGTGAAAAATAGGATGTAGGGTAATCTACGGAAAATCCCCCTAAGGTTTTAAGAAGTGACACTTCACCCCCTCCCCCATTTCATACAAAAATAACTTTGATACCCAAGCTAATATTATAGTTTTATGCACTCCTATATAAACATATATATGTTTATTACAAAAAATAGTGATGTACATCAAGTAATTGATGATTATTTGACTAGAAATGGGATTTTTTTGGGTTTTTTTTTGGGGGGGTGGGGGGGGGGGGTTCTTTAAACCTCATGGGAATAATTTGCCAATCATGCAAACCTCAAGGGGACTTCTCTTAATTTACCCTAGAAAAGGCAATAAAAGCATTAAGACTAGTAATGCATTGGATAAACACCTTTACCTATATTTGTAGCTCATAATTATATCCAACACTATTGCTCCTGATGTATACCTAGTCTTTTGTTTCCTTGAACAGCTGATGCTTATACTGATGCCTCACAATCAATCACATCTGTTTAAGATGTATAAGACTATTACAAATGCATTAAATAACACCTTCACCTATATTTGTAGCTCTTAACTATATCCAACATAATTACTACTGATGTATATCTAATGCTTTGTTTCCATGAACAGCTGATGTCTATGCAGATGCATCGCCATTAGTCACATCTGTTTTGGATGGCTACAATGTTTGTATATTTGCATATGGCCAAACTGGGACTGGGAAGACCTTTACAATGGAGGGCAATGAGCAGAATAGAGGAGTTAACTATAGAACTCTGGAAGAGCTGTTCAAAATTGCCAGTGAGAGAAAGGAGACTTTTTGCTACAGCATTTCAGTTAGTGTTCTTGAGGTATACAATGAACAGATCAGAGACTTATTAGCAACATCCCCCTCATCAAAAAAGTGAGGTTCTTTTACTATCTTAATATTGTTCATATTTCTTACAAAATCGAGAAGTTTTTTGATGTAATAATATTGTTTTATTTCTTAGGTTGGAGGTGAGACAAGCAGCTGAAGGCTTACACCATGTGCCTGGAATAGTAGAGGCAAAAGTTGAAAACATTAAGGAGGTTTGGAATGTATTGCAAGCTGGAAGTAATGCAAGAGCTGTTGGATCTAACAATGTTAATGAGCATAGTAGTCGTTCTCACTGGTTTGTAGTTTTTCCCCCAGTTTCTTTATTTACTAAACTGATGTGCTTGAGGCATTCATATCATTTTTATTCTTACAAATTTCAGTATGCTTTGCATAATGGTGAAGGCAAAGAACCTAATGAGTGGAGAGTACACAAACAGCAAGCTTTGGCTTGTGGATTTGGCGGGAAGTGAGAGGCTAGCAAAGACTGATGTTCAAGGGGAGAGGCTTAAGGAAGCACAAAACATTAATAGGTCCCTTTCGGCGCTTGGAGATGTAATATCTGCCCTTGCAACAAAAAACAGTCACATACCTTACAGGTTTGGAGACAACCTTAATATGATATCTCTATTTTCTGGCCATTTAGCTTCTAATTGTATGTTCTCACATATTTCAGGAATTCCAAGTTGACTCATTTATTGCAAGATTCACTAGGTATTTTACTTTTGGTTTTCTGAAACTAATAGTGTCATTATATTTTTGGGTTAATTGCGGATAGACATCCTGTAGTATTGTTATTTTGAACTTACTACCCGTCTAGTTTTACATTTTGAAGATAGACCCCCAAGTGAATTTTTTCTACTCTTATGCCCTCTGAGATGGAGAGAATTGATTTTTGACAAGTAGACACTCTGAAGATGGTAAAAGAATAAAAAAAAATTCACTCAGGGGTCTATACACAAAAATAAAGCTCGATATACAGTGAATTCAAACCAACAATAATACAAGGGGGTCTATCTGCAGTTAACACTACACTTTTTGTATTCAAATATGTAAAAGGTTCAGCATGCTCTTCTATGTATCTTACCAAGCCAAATAAAGATATTAATACTTTTATATGCAGGAGGAGACTCAAAAGCGTTGATGTTTGTACAAATAAGCCCCTCAGAGTATGATTTAGGTGAAACTATGAGTTCATTGAACTTTGCAAGTAGGGTTAGGGGAGTAGAATTAGGTCCTGCAAGGAAGCAAATTGACACAGGAGAGCTACAAAAAGCAAAACAAATGGTGAGCCAACACTGCCTTCTGCATGTTATTATATTTTTACATATTTTCATTTTGGGTTAATACACATGGAAACAATCACAGTTATGCAATTATAGTTTATTTTTCTCCTCGACCTAATCCCTTCTTGTCATCTATCTACTGATCCTAACTGCACACTTCTGTCCAATTTCTTTTAATATTTATATAAGTTTAATTCAAACTCTTCCAGCTTATCATGAATACTTTTGCATATGTCGAGTTGTTGGAAAATTGTTTCTTCAGTATTTTCTGTTTATAAACAATGTTCTGTATTTTTTTCCTTGAAGCTTGATAAACTAAAACAGGAGCTAAGGATCAAAGATGAATCCTTGCGCAAGTTTGAAGAGAACTGCCAAAACTTAGAAAACAAAGTCAAAGGAAAAGAACAGCAATATAAAAGTTTGCAAGAAAAGGTATTTACTGAGTGATGTATAAGAGAGATGTGCCAAGTTAGTTTCTCTGTGGTTTTCTGACTTTTCTCTTATTTTGTTAAAGAACAAAGAGCTTGAAGGACAACTAGAGTCTAAAATGCAGTTGCAAAGTGCAACAGAGAGGCAACATTGGCAGCTATCAGACAAGTTGAAGGGGAAGGAGGAAGCATGCATTGGCCTTCAACAGAAGGTAGTTTCTTTTTCCCCTCAATATTTGGGGGTAATATTTTGACAGTTAAATAGTCTATTTAACATAGTAATACTCTCGGATAATTTGTTTTATTGTCGCATTTGTTTTCTATACTGATGGCGGTTGTATGTCCCACTTTAACTTGTTGTCATGATGAAATATTGTTCATTATTTTCTTGATCATATCTTGAAGGCCTAAAGATAATATTGAAAATAAAATATCAAATTATAGTATCTATGAGACGGACTTGGCAAAAAACTTGAAGAAAAATGTCAAACTTTTAATAGGGAATATAACCATAGATATCGGGTCGCTATAACGAACCGCGACCCGGGTTCAATAGTCCAGGATTCGTGGTGGAACACGACCTAATTCACCCACTGCAATGACCCAACTTAGAATTCAAATTAGATAAAATTAAAAAAAACACTTTTTTTAAAACAATAAACAAGAAAAAATGTGAAAAACTAAGCAAATAAAGTATGCATACCTTAATTACAACATGATTCTTAAGGTCTTTTGTTGCCCACTAATGATCTCAACTAGCATATTTCTTAAATTTGACTCTTGTAAAAACCTTTGATTCTTGCATTTAACCGAACCTAAAATGTACCATGTTCCCTACCTTATCTTATAAGCATAACCATTCATACCTAATTTCTAAAGAGTGGCAACCTTGGTTTCATCGTTCCGGATTTGTGGTGGAGCACAACCCGATTCACCCACTCCACTCCAACGACCTGATTTAGAATTCAAATTAGATAAATTTTTTTTAAAAAAACTCTTTTTAAAACAATAAACATGAAAAAAAAAGTTAGAAACTAAGCAAATAAAGTATGCATACCTTAATTGCAATATGATTCTCAAGTTTTTTTATTGTTACCATTATTGATATCAACTAGCATATTTTTCAAAATTGACTCTGACAAAACCTTTAATTCCTACATTTGACCGAACCTACATGTTCCTTAGTGTACCATATAACCATATACCCCCTTTGTACCCGAATGACTAATGAGTGGCATACCACGCACCCATTTATGTCCCATGAACCTGAATGAAGCAGCCACATTCCATGCAACTATGAATATAACATGTCGACTCATGCATTCATGTTGTTGATGCCTGAGATGCTTGTAAATTCTACTTGGTCACTCAGAGGGGGGGAAAGGAAACTGGTACATAGAATATATTTATTTTTTCTATTTAAGCAGATTTGCAAGGTTGTTCATATAATTATATGAATCATACCTAAAATCACCACACTTGGGAATTGGTCTTGTAGGTTATTTGGTAACAAAAGGTTGTTTAATTAGTTTATGACTAATCTGTGTGCTCAGGTGAAGGAGTTGGAACACAAGTTAAAGGAGCAACAACACTCGGAGTTTATGATCCTTCAAGAAAAGGTTCTTAAAATAGTTTTTTTTATATGTTTTAAATTTAAGCAGTGGAAAATACGAAGTTAACTCATATTCTCTTTTGTGTTTACTCATTACAGGTTAAAGAACTGGAAAGTAGGCTCAAGGAACAAATGCATTCTGAATCATTAGCTGCTCAAAAGGTAGGTCATAATAATCTTCATTCCAAATACCTAACTAGTAGAAAATGAAGCTCTTACAGTTAATTTGTTATGCAGGTTAAGGAACTAGAATTCAAGCTCAATAAGGAGAGAGAGCAATTCGAATCGATTCTTGAGCAAAAGGTAGTTTTTTTCTTTTTCGGGTAAAGATGAGCAAAAGGCAGTTTTATCCTTTAAAAAATGCACTACTTTCCTCTAGAATTAATTGCAAATAACCCCCTATACTATTGCCCAATTGTGAATAAACCCCAATAGTATCGCCCAATTGCGAATAGGCCCCTGAGTTAATTTATTTACTCTTTACCCCGTGTTCTTTTAACAAATTGACCTTAAAAGCATCGAAAAATTCACTTAGGGGTTCTGTCTGCAACAATAGAGCTAGGGGGAATTAACCCTTTAATTATACTTCATTCTTTTAGAAAGCTGTTTATAACTTATCTTTGGTTTTTGAAATGAAGGTTAAGGAGCTAGAACAGAAACAAACAGAAGAAAGAGAACTACAAGATTCCATGTCATTAAGAATTTCAACACCAATGAATGTGGAACCAACGATCGAAATTGATCCACAAATCCTAAGGAATTCCAACTCAATCAACAAGCAAATAACAAGCCATTCTTCGATTCTTCTGAAAGGGAGAGAGTCCCTTCATGAGATCAAAAGGAAGAGAGAAGCTGAGAATTGCATTGGAGTACCGACGATAACTTTAATGGAGAAGAAGATTGCGGTGCCTTGTGAATCGAATCGAGTTAGAAAAATTGATCCATCAAAGGCCTTTGGTAGGCTTACTAGATCATCTAAGGGTGTCACTGCACAGAAGGTAGGAATTAACAAGGAGAAGGATAGGCTGAGAAGCTGGGTAAGGTAGTAGCAAAAGCTCTGTCTGCGATAAATAGAGGAGTTCATGTGATTGATTTTGTATCTCCAGGTATAATTGATTGATTTCTTAGATTGGTTATACTTGCTTTGTACAACTAACAAGATAAGGGATGAGATCTTCTTACCGCTAGTAAGAAAGATAATATGATTGTAATATATATTGTTAATGCCTTCTCGACTAGTTTTTCTACGCTTTTTATACATAAGTTTTTTGAGCAAATATTTCTCATTGGCTAACCGATGCCTGCAAGAAACTTCCTCAACTGTTGGTTTATCGTAATGTCAATGTATCTACTTTCTGATGCTGCTTTTAGATACATGTAGTATTTGGTCTATGAGATAGCATTTGGTATTTGCATTGACGACATCCTGCAATATTTGAAGAAACAGGTAAGATTGGAAAGATTTCCTTTTGATTTCTAATTAATCGATTCTGTACAAAAGCATTCCGGGTATATATAACAAAGTCTTGATTCCTAAACCTGGTAAAAAGATATGTTAGGTAAGTCCTAGATAAGGTAGGATATCTCCTAATTATGATACACCAAATATATACAAATCAACACTCCCCCTCAAGTCCTCAAGTTGGCGCGTGTATATTGTAGATGTCCAACTTGCCTAACAAAAATTGAAATTGTGGCCTCGCTAGCGCCTTTGTAAAAGTATCCGCTGGTTGGAATTGAGAATGTATACAAGCTGTGACGATGTTTCCTGTTTGAATCTGCTCGCGAATATAGTGACAGTCAATTTCAATATGTTTGGTCCGCTCATGATAAACTGGATTAGCCGCAATGTGGATAGCAGATTGACTGTCACAAAATAACTCCATCGGTTCACGATGGACCACCAAAAGAGAAGTCAATAAAGACTTTGTTAGACCCTAGAGGGGGGGTGATTAGGGTCTTATGCTAATCTAATCCGATTATATGCCAATTAAAATATATTAACAAATTATTCTTGCAAGAGAGATATACAATATGTTACAAGCAAGAATAAGCAATATGAACAATGAGATATATCCTATATGATAGAGATATATACAAGGATATATAAACAACACAAGGGTAAATAATCTAAACAAGATAGTGGATGAAATAAATGAGTAATGCACAATTGGCGATATAAGATAAATGCAAACAAATACGCCAAAGACAAACTCAAACAAGCAATATGATCACGGAGTTCGGACCTTCCGTCCTACGTCTCCGCTCCCCACTCCCGGGGAGAAATCCACTATCAACCGGGTTTTCTACGTTCACCCGAATAACGTTTACACCTCACACTCGGTTTTCTAGCTAACCGAAAATTTTACAATCAACACACTATTGTAATCCCACTCTACACCCACTAAGTGTTGGACCTAGCCGTGTCTCCCTCAAGTGCTCGGTTACAACCTCTCCCTAGGCACGTCAACCGACGCCACTCCTCTTGGGACGATCCCCGACTCTCACCACACACTCCTCACTCGGTGTACAAGTGTATTACAAAGTGAATCTCACAATAAGGCTCAATACAATAATTGATTGTTCTCAACTATGGATGAGAACACAATGAAAGCACAATTCAAAGTTACAATCTCTCACCACCCAACTATACTATGTATGCAAATACTATAAGCTCAATGTGGGTGTGTGTAACAATGAGTAAAATAAAATCTAACTCAATTAGCAAACTAGCAATAATAAGAATATGAAAATCAATAATGAAATTGCTAGAGAAAAGAGTTAGAAAACTTCTCTATAAACACGAAGAAGAGGATGAAGAGGATTGAGAATGAATCCCTCAATCTGCAGTGAGAACTTCCTCTCTTGTAAACAGAAACCCAATCTTAAATAAACAGTAAAACCCTAAACCCTTGTTTAAAAACTTTGTTTTAAAAACACTTCTTAGATCCTTGAAAGAGAGCAGCAATAGGGTATTTATACCCACTCTAAATCTCAGTCAAAACCCCTAACAAAAGACAAAAATAGTCCCAGCAAACAGCTCAGAAAAATAGCCGTTGGAAGCCAACGGATACATTGGCGGTCGACCGGAAATTCTGTCGGTCGACCGACGGAGAACAAAAACACGAAGGATTGTTCTGCACCATCGTCGGTCCACCGGTGCGGTCGACCGATGGAGCTCTTGGTCGACCGCATCGGTTGATCGACCAACTCTCTGCTACATGGTGACGAAAGAACAAATGATCGGTCGACCGGTGCGGTCGACCGAAAACTGACACAGCAGAAAACTTATCAAATAAATTCCAAAAAATATAAAACTTTGGGGAATGATTGTAGGCATGATAGTAAACATGCTACAGTGACTGGTTATCAGAAAGGACCTCCCAAATGAAAAATATCATCATTTTACAAACTAGTCCAAAACATGAAAATATGAGATACTTGAATTTTGATGTTTTGACATAAACCAACTTTTGAAACTTTGTGAAATGTTTTTATAGACTTAGTAAACCATGTATAAACTGATATTCAAGTCTACAAACTAAGAATATAATATTTTCAAAAAATTGCATATTCTATGCAATGTTTTCAAAAACACAATAGTAAATATGAAATATGTGATTTCATATTATAAACATGAAAACTCAAAAACTATGTATGTATATATATAACTATATATATGTATAGAAACCAAAACTTATGTATATATATATAACTATATATATATACGAAGATACCAATAAATGTGTGTGTATAGATATTGAGCTTAGAGTATATAACACACATAATATAAAATCTAAAACTACTTTACCCAAGCAATCTTAATCTTCAATTAAGCTTGACTTGGTACACTTGCGGATGAATCTTGAATTTGATCTTTAACTTGAATTGTATAGGCTTCAACCCGACATTCCGCCAACCTCCTTTGGATATCATCGTTGAAGCGCAATCCATCCAACCTCCAACAACGTTGTTTGTCTACAATATATAAGAATATACAAACACTAGACAAACAACATTAGTAGTAAATTGTTTGTTAAATATCATCAAAACAAAGAGGCCTAGCCGTAGATGTCATGGCTCGATATTTAGCCTCTGCCAATGATCTCGAGACCATGTTTTACTTTTTTATTTTCCACGACACCGGTGACTGTCCGAGCATAATAAAATAACCAGTGACCGACCTCCACGTAATAGGGCAGCTCACCCAATCTGAATCACAATACGCACGCAATCTCAAGTTACTATTAGCTCACAGCAAAATTCCTTGACCTGGTTTGCCCTTAAGGTAGAGTACAACACGCAGTGCAGCCTCAAAATGTTCCTTGTGTGGTGCTTGCGCAAACTGCAAAAGAATGTGCATCGAATATGAATTCTCAGGGCGCATAATCGTCAAATAAATCAAATGTCCCACGAGACGTCTGTAGGCCGCACAATCATCAGCTTCCTCCCCCTTGGCCAAAGCAAGTTTTTGGTCTTGCTCCATTGGTGTTTCAGATGGCTCTAAGCAAGCCGGTTTTGGCTAGAATGTCTAAAGCATATTTTCTCTGGCACAAGAATAATCCTTGTGATGATCTTGCCACTTCGATGCCAAGAAAGAACTTTAACGTCCCCAAATCCTTTATGTGGAAACATTCATTCAAGTAAACTTTGAACATCGCACAAGCCTGATTATAGGAAAATTTTGCGAGAAAAATGAGAATGAAATTCATATTAATCTCCCTAACTGACTTAGGAAAAGATTGAATACAATCTCTCAATGTAATCTCTCTCTAACTGACTTAGAAAAATAAATTACAATTTTCTCTTATCAGTTTCCCAATTTACAAAAGAGAGAATGAATCGACGGAGATCCTTCTCTTTGTCTAAACATGGGTCCTTCTTAGTGGCGATGGGAGTTTAACTCTTGTATGCTGTTGACGATCCGAGCACTTCGCTTCGTGAAACGTTCGTCTATTCCTCTTGACTTGAAGTCGGGAAGAACTTGTGATGCAATTTTAGAACTCTAAATGAGTTTAAGAACTCTGTAAAAGAGTTAATTTCAGAGAGGATTTCAATCCTTTTGAACTAAAATAAGCCCAGGGCTGATCTCAAAGTTCTTCAACCGAAAATGATTCAAAAGCTAAGCCAAAAAACTTTCAAAAAGCCTTAATCAAGCTCTCACCAAGTTCTCCCTTTTTCCAGCTGTGAACACAGCTATTTATAATGTTTAAGGGGTGTAACTGACCCCTTAAATTGCTCCATAATGGGGGTTTAATGCTCTCATTACGTGCAAAATGGTTTTGGAACCGTTTAAAACGTGTTTGAATCAGTCAAACGCGAGATTCACGTTTAGGAGTGAGCCCCGTGTTTAATTTTTTGAAACGCGAAGGTGATCTCTGTGTTTACGACCTCCATGTTTAGCAACCATTGCATCTATGCGAGGGTCGACCTCCGCGTTTAGCTATTGAAATGTGAGGGCCGCGTTTGGCTTCGAAGATGAAAATATCATCAATTTGTAATCTTTGTGTCACCTTTGCATCAAGTCTTCTCAGAATACAAAGGTCATCATCTTGTAACTCTTGCGCTCTAGCTTTTGAAGATATGAGAATCGTCAAATTGTAACTATCATTAATTGATATAAAAGTCGTAAGATCGTGACCTCCATCATTTGTGGGGACTAGCTATCTACAGTGATTTTTAGACAGCCTACAGAACTCCCTCTAAAGTTTTTGAAAGTTCGCGGTTGACTGGAACAAAATTTTGAAATACTTTGGATCTCGATTTTGTTCTTGGAGTTGTTGAGTTCTCACTACATCCGATTAAAAGGTATCATGAACTTGGTTGAAGGGATTTGCTACACAAGACCCGTGCAAGGGTGAGCACTATACTTCTGCTTCTGAAACGTGGAGGTAAGCCTCGCGTTTGGCTTCTGAAACGCTAAGGTGGACTTCTGCGTTTTGATTAGCAAAATGCGGGGTTGGCCTTCATGTTTTGAAATTGAAACGTGGTTTTGACCCTCGCATTTTGATTTTGAGATGCGGGGATGACCTTTGCGTTTGGTAATGGGAAAGCGGGGCTGACCCTCGCGTTTTGATTTTAAGATGCGTGTATGACCCTCATATTTTGAAATTGAAACGCGGGTCTGACCCTCACATTTTGAAATTAGAACTTGAGTCTGACCTTCACGTTTTGGTCTTGAAACACGAGGCTGACTCCTCGCGTTTTGATATTGAAACACGGGGCTGACCCTCGCATT